ATAATAAACAAGTATATACTATAAAAGTCTATTGTTTTTTTTAAAAATGAACATTTAAAATATCAATATTTAAAAATGATCACACTATTTCAAAAATTATGACGTCCAATTTCTTTTCCATGTCTGAACAGATAAACACATTCCACCCATTAATATTTTAGAGGGCTCACTGATTGGTGGTGTGGGAGCTCACTGACAGGTGATGCTAACAGAAAAAGGGGGGAAATCAGAGCCAAGAAAAACCTGATGATCACGTTTGATTTGATTTCAGCTTTCACTCCAACACCAGTCACTCGACTTTGCGCTGTCCAGTAAACTGTGCGCTATCCTGTAAATGGGTGTTATTTTAGCATCAGTTAGCTACAACCATGCTGTGGTGTGGTACATTTGGCCTGCTTACTGAGCTCTCTTTTAAACCCCACAGAAAATGTTTGATTTCAGCTTACTTTCACTCTACTTTTGCTCTCTCAAATATTTTTATCATCTAAATTTGTGTCAACAGAGCACCAGTTTTCACAATCAAGCCTGTGCTGTGGTGGGTGGCACTGTTATGGTCTGTAGCTGCTCGCTAAGCAAACGTTAAGGCTTTTAATTTCACCTTTCTGTCCCTTCAGCAGTTGCTTGAATTCACTCTCTCAGATTTTAATCGACATTTTTAATCACCTAAACTTGAGTCAGTGCTTTATTCAGCTAGAATTACCTCAGAATCTGTGGTGGGCAGAGCTGTAAGCTAGCATGATAGCAAAGGTAACGCTAACCAGCTCCTCTCTCTTAGTTAGCAGCACTGTTTAGCATTTATGACATTTATGAATGTTGACATTAAAATCGTCCACCGTGTTCACTTATATGGTAACCATGTAAAGTGAACTTCTTTTTGAAATAATGCTAGAAAAGTGTTATAAGTGGCTTCTACCACCAGCAGCTCTGCCCAAAAAGATACTGCCCAAGGCTATTATACAGTACTGTGGAATTTATACAACATATTTACCCAGTTAATACCTCAAACCTGTTAGTCACTTCTGTGTAAGTCATAATTAGACTGCCTCAGAACTCACCATGACGTTCCCCAAAATAATAAGCAAAAAATTTGCCATCTGTACCTCACCATTAGCTGGTTTGAGGGACTGTAAAAGAAAGCATTACCATAATACATTTGCCTCAGTTGCTAAACCAAAACAAAATTATGTACTTGGCTAACGGCCCAGTCGTGCAACTGAATCCTCCCTGTGCTGTTCCTAAGAGTAGCTCTGGTGTGTAGACATTTGCCAGTAAAATGAATGGTGAAAACTCTCATGGTTCTAAAGGCACGTTAACTGAGCTGGGTCATGGTAAGTTAGCCCTGACCTCTCTCTCTCTCTCTCTCTCTCTCTCTCTCTTCTTCTCTCTCTCTCTCTCTCACACACAGGCCTAAACACAGGGCTGCCCCAATCACAGGGGGAGATGTTTAAAGTAGTACTTAAGCACTTATATACACATGAGAATATGCATGTGCGTGTTTGCCCAGGAATTAGTAAATTATCAACCTTGTGTTGTATGTGAACACAGTGCTCCTTTAGTAACCTTGCTGATGTACACTAGTAACACTTGTCTTAAAAGCAGAACTCATGAAAGGGTAATGTTTCAATATGTCTGTAGAATAACATTGTTCAGATGTAAACAAGGCCATTCAGAGTGATTTGAGTGGCTTCCTGTAAAATAAGCGGGGTCAAAATTGTTCAACTACTGGGGAAAAATCTGAAAAGCTACTGCACAAAGTGGTCACAAATGCACTGCCTGACACCTGTTTTACGATACCTTCAAGATAAGCATTTTTGAAATGCAATACTAGCTGAGATGCAGGACCAAATAGTACCACTATTTTTCCAACATTACATCATTACATTTAAAGCCAGAGTCGGAAATTTTGTAGAAACCAAGAACTGTAAGGTAGTGTTTTAAAAAATCCCACCCTCTACTTTCAGCCTCCCTTCCAAAGCCACACCCCCAAAACAGATGAACATGCACAGACTAATAAACAGTCTTAGAAAATTACATAGTGTAGCTATGTAAGTAGCTAGCTGTGTTGGCTACATTCAGGAGAATGACAAATTTCCTAATAAACAAAATAAACCAGATAATTATCAGTCCAACAGAAAATTAGCAACCTTGGTGTTGCTTTCCAGGCATTTCAACCATTGGAAAGCCACACCAGTGTTCCCTCTGGTTTGGCCTCTTGCTTTATCCAACCTCTTTTCAGTCCAAGACTTTTCTACTTTTGTCTTTCTTTTCTTTCTGTCTTTAGCAGTGCAAGCTGTTGTAGGTACTTGTGTAACTTTCTCTGCCATTCTTGGGAACTGAGCTTGCTACTTTTCACCTGTGTGTGTTTGTAGAGCCGCAAATGAGTACATGGCAGGTAGGCCATCCAATCATTTCATTCGGTCTAGATGAGGTTTTTACGGTCCTGTGGCCTCCACAGATAACCATTTTTTTATTTTTATTGTCAGATCATTTGATTTATTGATTGCTATTGGGATGAATAGTTTTTCAAGAAATATAACAAAAATGTTTCTAAAATAAAACACCTACTCCATCTTTAAAGAGTCAGAAGACAAATGTAGGTTTATTTTTGATAGTAAATAAAGCGGCTATATACGTATTGCAGACATCACAGCGCCTGGTCCCGATCACCTCTAAAGAATCCATACAATTAACCATTTTACCTCAAAATAAATGACTCTGAATAACTTTGTTTATAACTGAGCAATTTAATTATGCAGAAAGACTGTGGAATTTGTCTGTAATATACATACATATGCCACAGATAACACTTGAGGCCTACAGTTGTGTTTTTGGTGGATTCATTGGGTTCATTTTCATTATGTTTATGTTTTAACCGAGCTGTACTAATACTCCAAAATAGCAGTGACACAGACACCATGCACTTCTCCTTTACTGATGCAAAACCAAACTAGGAAATTAAGCAAGACAGAATTTCAGTTTAAGTGTTGCATAATTACGCCTTTTGATGACAATGAATGGCGGTTACAAGGCAGCAGTCTCCTGCACTTAATGTCTGGTCTCTTATTTTAAAGCCATTTACACTTTTAAAAGATGTTTGCATTTCCCTCATTGGGGCTGGAGGGTCAGCTTTCAGATCTATTACAACAGCATATGCTTTTCAAATAACATTTTTAAAAACATTAGCAGTTTTATCTTACAGGTTCTATTTCACATTTCCATGTTCACATGACTGTCAAGGGTTCCAGTTAAGAAGGGTCCCCACAAAGCACCTATACAAGCTCTCGATGACTTGAACTGAGGTGGTACAGATTCTGGTATGCCAGATACCAGTAATGGGCCCATTCCTGCAGAAAACACTGGATTGGGTATCAGATGGGAAAAAATAATGAATCCGAACCAGTTTTCAAAAAGATGAAAAAATTCATTTTTTTCATTTTTTCAATAAAAATTCAGAAATAAAATACACAAGAAGAATTGTCTTCTTGATGGAGATGTACATTTAGGTGAATTCTTTTGTCCAATAACTGACCTTCATCTTTGACAAGCCTAAAATCAAGGACACCTCAAAATATCAATCATTAAACAGATGAAATCTCTGAAATCTGATTGAGCCACATTTGATGCTATTGTATATTTAATATATCATTGCAAAAAATGTTTTGCAAATCTGTTTTCTTCATCATTTGAAAAGCTGAGCTTTAGATTGCATGCAAATTTCACAATGAACGAACCAACAGAAATGCTCCAAAATTGCTTGCAATAAAATCTCTTTACATTAACTTACATTAAAAGTGAACAATGTTTTGACGTTCTCCTGTAAAGTTACCATTTTGGAGATTAATTGATTAATTCACGTATTAATGCACCAATATTAGCAAGTGCTCCTTGCATGGATCATGAAACATAACACTGATAGGTAGGGCCATGTATAATAGTGAATATGAAGTAAAAAGCCTGAAACTAAGTCTATGTAACAACCAAATTTAGATTAAACTGAGGAGCTGAAAAAAACATGATCATGGTCAGATCACCAAAAACTAAAATGATTGGAATATACAATGATAGTCTAAAAGTCCAAAGTTCAGTCAAGTTAAAACAAACAGAAATGTCATGACCGGGGCTAATGTCATAATAGTTGTCTGTCTTACTGCTTTCAATTGCTTGCTTTCAGTATCGCAGTTGTGGTACTGTTCTCTCATAAATAGTCCCAAACACCACTCATTATTAGGTGGGTGCATTAATTTTAGAAGTGGAACCAATTGCCTATTGAGTTCCCATGAGTATAACTCATCAACATGACTGCTGTTTAAATGAGGACCTGTTGTTTTTTTGGGAACAAAATCAAATTAACTTATTTTCTAACTGCTAGCAAGACTTTTCGATGGATCGTTTACATCCTTGGTGTACGTAAGAATGAAAGCTGATGTGAGGTCAATCAGAGCTGTTTAAACAACTGTAGATGATGTAAAACCAGGTCTGAAGACGGGGATTACATAATGAGGACAGCCCGCTATATTAATGCATAGACATGCATGGCACTTTTAACACACATGGGTTTTTAATGACACAAGTGCTTGAGAACTGGGCGATTCAATTCATGCTTTTATGGTTTTTGACACGTGCACACACACACACACACACACACACACATACAGGATGTTTTTCATGGGGACGTGTGGGTGTGTGTGTGTGTGTGTGTGTGTGTGTGCGCTCAGCAGCAAAATGTCCCCGTCAACGACCATTTCTTCAACACGAACATACAACCAGAAAACCCGCAGCCCCCCCACCCTTGACCTCCCCCTTTCGCAAGCGCTTGGAGGAGAGAGTGCCGCTTCACATACTGCGGAACCATACCCCACAACCAAAATCAGGGCAAGCAAAACAGTTTAGCGCCGTAATGCCACCTTGCACGCCAGCATGTATGCACAGGCACACTCACTCACCCACCCATACAAACAAGGCAGTAATTCAGCCATCACTTGTAAGGCTGGGAGTCCTACCTTGGCACTGGAAGCCTTGTTTGCCGAATCCCCTGCAAGAAGAAGCAAGACGTAGCGTGAGATTCGAGCGATAAGAAGGCACAGAAGAACACTAAACAGGGCTAGGCACATTCCTCCACACTGGTCTTTCCGCCAACACACACACACACACTCAGTCTGTCTTCCACAAGCCATATTGTTCGTCAAGTCTGTCCACAATATCGCAGCAGTAAATCACACGTACACGCCACAGGTCTCCACATTCTGTGCAGCGAGCAGGTTAATGCAGCTGCTCTGTCCGAGGATGAAAACGTCGCACAAACGTGAGGGCCTGTTATTCAGGTGCTAAGATTCCTTCAGCCACCTCAAGACTGCAGTGCATCACGACAGGAGTGCCTGGATGCGCCACGATTTCTCCATTATTTTCCAAGTGTGTGTGTCTAGCCTGAACGCCGCAGATGAGACTCCGGACGTCCCCATGAGTCTTCTGGCTTTTGGCCTGATTTAACTATTAAGAGCATCAAGTGAGTCACCTGTGCATCTAATAACTGCATACCAGATACTAATCCACCAACACACACACATACCCCCAAACCGGTATTGCTACCTTAGTGAGGTCCTCTGTCTTACTGCAGCTCAGCGGTACTCCCACTGCCTACAGTCAAAGCTAAACCCTTCCTTGACCTCAGCAACCATTTGTAGACTTGTCTTTGAAAAAAACGTAAAAAAAATGGCATTTTCAGCGAAAGGTCCCCACAACGTCAGATGTCCCGAGGTTTGGTCCCTGCTACGCTGTGTACACCAACACTTGACACACACGCCGGAGGGAGTGTCTATATTAAGGGGGGCTCACCAGATGAAGTCGGTGCAGTGGCTGCAGAAGGTGGGCTGCTTGAAGAAGCGCGCGATGAACTTGTGCTCCTTCACCTCGTGCACGTTCTTCTGCCTCAGCGCGCCCTGCCTGGCGAAGCCTCGCGCGCCGCTCGCGCTCTCCGCGTCGCCGGGCGCCGCTGGGTCGGCCATGTTCGGACGCTGAGGCGTTTCAGATCGGCTCGCTGCAGCTGCAGGGCGGACAAACGCGAGGAAAACACTCACTCACTCTCTCTCTCTCTCTCTCCGTCTACCGCCCCGCTGCTGCTCTACGGCTCTGCGTGCAGCTTCCCGGTCGGTGGGAGAGGCTCCGCCCCCCTCTACTCCTCCTCCTCGTGTCCCCACGCCCCCCCTCCTCCGCCTCTACGGCTGTTCTAGAAACGGAGCCGTCAGACTCGGCGGATGTGGCTGAGGGGGCTGTAGGGGGGCGTCTGTCCAGGTGTGAACAAGTTAGTCCAGTTGTGAGTTTAGCTCGCTCTCTCTCTCTCTCTCTCTGTCTCTCTCTCTCTTGTTTTTCTCTCGCTCTCTCTTTCTCCCTCAGTCTTTTACTCTCTTTTTCTCTTTCTCTCTTGTTTGTTCTCCCTTTCTTCCTACTCTTTCTCCTCTCCCTCATTCTCTCACCAAGTTCCTTTTGCTCTTTCCTTAATTCTTTCTTTCTTTCGTTCGTTTTCTCTGTCTCTATTTGGCCGTTCTCTCTGTTGCTCTCTCTCTCTCTCTCTCTCTCTCCGTCTCTCTCTCTCTTTCTCTCTTTTCTCTCTCCCCTTTGTTCCTCTCTTTCTCCCCTCTCTCTGTCTCTCTCACTATTTCCTTTCTCCTCTCCCTCTTTCTCACTGTTTGTCTGTTTCTTTCTTTTTTCTTTCTTTCTTTCTTTTTTCTTTCTTTCGCTTCCTTCTCTCTTTCATTCTTTTTCTCTATCTCTCTCTCTCTCAAAAAAGTCTATCTCTCTTCTGTCTCTCTTGCTGTCTATGAGACTCTTTCTCTGTCACTTTTTCCTCTTTCTCATTCTTTCTCCTCTCCCTCTTTCTCTTACTGTTTGTCTCATTCTTTCTTTCTTTCTTTCTTTCTTTCCCCTGTTTCTCTCTGTCTTTTTCTTACTTTGTCTGTCTCTTTTGATTTCTCCTTTTTTTTAAATGAAACTCTCTCTCTCTTTCCCCTCTCTCGCTCCTCTCTCTCTCTCTCTCCTGTGTTTCTCCCTCTTTCTCCTCTCTGTTTCTCTCTCTCTTTCCTCTCTCTCTGTTTCTCTTTTTCTTTCCTCTCTCTCTCTCTTTGCTCTCTCTCTTTCTCTCTTGTTCCTCTCTCTTTCTCTCAGTGTCACTATTTCCTTTCTCCTTTCTCTCTTTCTCACTGTTTGTCTGTTTCTTTCTTTTTTCTTTCTTTCTTTTTTCTTTCTTTCGCTTCCTTCTCTCTTTCATTCTTTTTCTCTATCTCTCTCTCTCTCAAAAAAAGTCTCTCTCTCTCTCCCCTCTCCTTTTCTGTCTCTCTTGCTGTCTATGAGACTCTTTCTCTGTCACTTTTCCTCTTTCTCATTCTTTCTCCTCTCCCTCTTTCTCTTACTGTTTGTCTCATTCTTTCTTTCTTTCTTTCTTTCTTTCTTTCTTTCTTTCTTTCTTTCTTTCCCCTGTTTCTCTCTCTGTCTTTTTCTTACTTTGTCTGTCTCTTTTGATTTCTCCTCTTCTTTTTAATGAAACTCTCTCTCTCTTTCCCTTCTCTCGCTCCTCTCTCTCTCTCTCTCCTGTGTTTCTCCCTGTTTCTCCTCTCTGTTTCTCTCTCTCTCTGTTTCTCTTTTTCTTTCCTCTCTCTCTCTCTTTGCTCGCTCTCTTTCTCTCTTGTTCCTCTCTCTTTCTCTCAGTGTCACTATTTTCTTTCTCCTTTCTCTCTTTCTCACTGTTTGTCCCTCTTTCTTTTTTCTTTCTTTCTTTCCCTCTCCCTTCTTTTTCATTCTCTCTCTCTCTTGCTCTATCTCTCTCTCCCTTCTGTTTTCTGTCTCTCTTACTTGTTGTGTATGAGACTCTCCCTCTTTTTCTCTGTCACTTTTTCCTCTCTCTCATTCTCCCTCTTTTCTCTCTGTTTGTCTTTCTTTCATTCCCTTTCCCTTCTCTTTTTCTCACTCTTGTCTTTGTTGCCTGCTCTTTTTCTTTTTAGCGAGACTCTCTTTCTGTCACTGTTTCCCCTCCTTTGTTTCTCTCTCTCTCTCTCTCTCTCTCTCTCTCTCAGAAAAAGGTGCTAAAAATTGCTATGGTGAACCAAAAAAAGTTTTTCCCCCTTTTTTCCCTCTCTGGTTCCTCAAATCAGAAGAATTCATGTTTTCAAAGCAGCTCTTTCAGCCCACAGAACACGTTTTGCACTGTATTTTCCCTTCAGGGCCCAAATTACCTGGTTTTAAGAGAAGACAGATGAGCTGCACAGCAACTGGAAAATAAGTTCTGTTTTGATGATCAGTGTTTAAATCCACCAACCTGGCAGCTCTGTGTCCGGTCAGACAGAAAATTAGTAATGAAATTTAAGGACCGCCTGATGTGTTTTTTTTCTAGCAAATCAAACTGGAGAGAAGAGATGAACTTGGATTTCCATCCATCTTTCATGATCAGCCGGACTTGGTCCACTCAGGTCCAGAATAGACTTTATTACAGCAAAAAAAGAACATTCCCAAAAAGTACCACCGATTTATGTCTGAGGAAATGCGACCTGCATCTTTCTTTTTCTCTGAAATGCATTTGAACAGTGAACAAAATCACACTGATTGCGTTTACATACACTCAATAATCTGATCATAATCGGATTTCTGCAGTTATCTGATTATTCAAATGGTCATGTAAACACCATACTCTGATCTAGAAATCTGATTAAGAAATCCAATAGAGAGCTGGATTTTAGCTCAGTAATCAGATTTCTCAGTGCATATGAACTCTTACTCTGATTTCTTTCAGATTTCTCAGTCTGCGCATGTGCGAAACAGACGGTGGTACCGGAAATTAGCAAGCAGTGTTGCCGCGAGACGCAGCAAAAACACTTTGGAGCGACACTGAAACCAAACATAAAATAATTTAAATGTTCTTCATCTTCTAGATGATGTATGTTCATATTTTCAGGCAAAATGGTGTGATGTTTAAAAAAAAGCTGCAGCATGAAGTTCGAGTTTTACATTATGTTTATGCCACATCTTCTTCTGTGAGTTTATTGGCTGGTTGCAAAGCAGAAATCTGATTACTATCTGATTCATGTAAACCCAGTTTTCACATTATCTGATTACCTAAGTGCATATAAACGCATTGATTGGATTACTGACAAAATCTGATTTTCTGCAGTTATCAGAATATTAAGTGCATGTAAACGCACTCACTGATTGAATTGTGTGAAATGACTTGAATGAGTGGTGCCAGAATGAAGCTGCTGCACCATTTAAGGTAGAATGGGAAAATTCATACAAGAAGTTGTCGAATAAGAAGCTGACTTCAGCTTTGTGTGATTTACACTATCAAAATATCCTACCTATGGCTTTGTGTAGAGCTCTACCTGAACATGGTAGGACACCATGTTGCACCATTTGTCAGAACACCGGTACGTTTCTGTTTGCTAACATTTTTTCAGTAGATCACAGCCTAGCTAACTAACTAGACAACTAAATTGGCTGTTAGCTACTCAGCTTAGTGACATTAACAGCACCACCATGCTCCTGATATTGGCAAAAAAGGAAAGGATTACGTTAGACAGGCAACCTGGAAAAAACTGTTTTATGCTTCATAATTATAGTGGGATCCAAAAGTCTGAGGCTATATAGACGGGCTATCAAAATATCCTAATTACATTTTTTTGTAGATCTCTACCTGTAAATATGCGCTATGGTAGGACATTTCCACAAGGTGGCACAATTGGTTGATACACTTGTACGTTTCTGTTTGCTACCATTAGCTAGTTAGCTAATGAGCAAGTTAGCACTGTGTAATTCATATCAATGATAGCTAAACTAAATAATATTGCTTTTGTTCAGTAGATCATAGTCTAGCTAACTAACTGGCCAACTAAATTGGCTGGTTACTTAGCTACTTAGCTTAGCAACACTAGTGGTACCACCATGTTCCTCATATTGTCAAAAAGGAAAGGATAATGTTAGACAGGCTCAACAAACAACAAAACCAGGTAAGTTGGGCAAATTTCATAAGACATGTCAGCAAGCTATAAAGGTTTTTGTGATTTGGATAGCTCCTATTAGCTAAAGATTTAGTGAATAGCAGACTTAGCGGGGTGTTTCTCATAAAGATGAGAGAGATGAGAAGCAAAATAGTCCCCAAAGAAAACTACTTTATTTCAGATTTACTACTATTTTATCATTTTTAGCATTATGTATAAAACCTCAGAAGACACTATAGGTTCACTGGTGCTTCTGGATAGTAAATAAAATGGCTATGTTTGTGTTGTAGGCATGGTGACCCCTGGTTCCTATCACCAGGGGTCACCATTAAGTATTAGGTTGAATTTCCCCATTTAAAATGTGTTAAGACTAGGGATGGTCATTTCAGTCAGATTTGAAAAAAGGAACATCCTGGAAAAAATGCCACTCAGCATTTACTGCTACAGTAATATATTAAACCCAGATCAAAAATTTAGGAAATGGCTGAAAATTTACATGAAGAAAGTTTTAGCCAAAACAAGGTGAGTTTATTTAGAAGTAGTTAGTGGATACCAAATGTGAAAGCTAATTTGCATATCAAAAGTCTAATTTACAATTTGAATTTTCATGATTTTTTGAATATTTGAAAATTCCAAGTTGAATAGTGTGGCATATAATCACATTTGCAGACTTTCAAATTGCAATTTTGTCATAAAAACAATAAATCGTTCAGTCCTAGCTACAACTAGCTACAACAATTCCTAGGTAACAAATTTGCAGAAAGATGCAAAAAGAAATAGGCATTTTTGATGTGTGAAGAATGATGAAAAGAGCTGTAGGTGATTCTGTAATGACTGAATGACTGTAAAAAACAAGTATTTTGTCACTGTCCAAAACAAACAAATTTTTCTGCGATTTTTATTTTTCTACACCATTTGAGCTCAGTAGCTACCCTTTACATTTTACATTTACATTTTATGATGAATGGGCCAATAGAAAAGCTCCAAAAATGTTTGGACTAAAACCTTTTTTACATTGACTTACATTGAAAGTACAAAAAGAATGTTTTTGCCATCTCCTGTAAAGTTGCAATTTTTCAAGATTTTCTTTGGACACCATCAATTTACTGGAAATAAAGATATAATAAAATTGACCTCCTGAATGTTTTGTATTTGAAAGATGGTGATCAAATCTCAGATACCTTAAATACTGTAAATAAACACTTACAGTATATTATTTGTCATTTCATAACTTTGTGGTGTTCCAAAAAACTGAAATATGGAATAAAACAGTTTTAAATACCTGAAAGTGTCTAAAGTGTATTTCCATCCACACTGTATACATTATTACAGATTTCACAATTGTTTATATGACTTTCTTTATATGTTTTGAATGGCAGTATATTTAAGTAGCAATGCCAGGGGATAAACCATCTGAAACAAAAACACCTAAAGCAATCAAAGGATTGTAATGCAAATGAATGACTAAATTACAGATTCACCAGGGAACCACAAAGCCAGCAAAGTTCACTCATCTCACCACATTTTCCCAACAGACTTGTTTCAACTAAATATAAAACCCTTCATGGTTTTAAAATGGGTGTGGTGACAGGGGGAACATAAATGAGACCAAATGTATCTACAAATCAAATGTAAGCATTGTAAGAAAGTAGGTAAAAAAGTTCTAGTACGAGACCTAGTCCCATCTTGATAGATCCCGATTAAGTCCTGTTCATTTCATCTCTATAATTCTAGGATTCTTATATAAAAGCATGTAATTTAGAAAGTATTACATTGATTGACCTTTATTTTATTCAATAATAACTGTAAAGTGTAGAGTGATACACTGTAAGAGCTATTTTAAGTTGCTTTTTTCAATATTTGTAAGTTTTCTGGGAACAACAAAAGTTCACAATAATTCCTTCCTATGTGATCTGCCTCTCTGCTTTTTAAATACAATGCATTCTGGATATGAATTTCATTACAACTTAATTTTCAATGTTATACAGATTCCCAGTTACTGTGGAATCATCTACAGTGCTGTTCATTAATCTGTACATGTCTGTTTTTTTTTTTGTTTTTACAAAGTTTAGAGTAATTGCATTAAATTAGAATCAATTTGTACACGAATCTTCAACAAAATGAGTTTTATATCATTGAAACTATGATTCAAAATGAAATTTAGAATCTATACCTTTCAGCAATATTTGGCATTTTAGAAGTCATTCTTCTATGGAAAATGATATAAACAAAGAAAATTCAAACTTTTAAAAAAAGATAGAATGGAACCAAGAATTGCATTGTAAAAATCTTTATTTGTTTACTTCATTTATTAAAAAGCAATAGGCAGTAAAAGTCTGAAATGAAATAACAAAGTGCAGTTACATAGCCTTCAAAAACATATGGGTAGTTTCGACTCACCTACAACCTGTCCAGTCACATGGACAACAATAAAAAAATTCAAGCAAAAACTTCAACTCAACTCAAATAGTCATGCATAATTTCAAAGCAGTGATGGAATTAATTTTTTAGTTATGAAATTTTAACATTTGCTCTGTTATGCTGTAAAACACATCTTAGAAAATATATTTCTATTTAAACCAACTTGGTCCATGTTAATAAATGTCCAAATGTAGGTCAATTTAGTGGAGGATGTCAGATATGTGCAGTATTTCATCTTTGAAATGTAATCTTTCAGGCAGATTCAAATTATCTTTGAAAAATTCAATGTTATGTAGTATTCCTACACTTATGGATCATTCAGTTTTGCATGTACTGTTTGGAGCTACACCATGGGTTTCATATAAACAATGATTTCACACCTAAAAATCTATTTTATAGGCTTTTTGGACCTATATTTCCTTACTTTTTTCTTAATCATCACAGGTATCTGTAATTAGCATATAGAAAAATGACTCTAGGCTCAAATAGAGTCAAAAATTAATTGTTATTTGTGAAGCCACTTTGCGCTAATGTAAGCTTCAAATTGTACTTTATATGCAACAATAAACTAAAGTATTATCTTACTATCTTACATTGTATGCCCTCCAATATTTGAACCTCTTATGAGCATTTATTAAATAATCCAGTTGATTTAAGGTGAATATTATTTTTAACGCTGTATTTGGACCCAGTAAATATAACAGCTCAGATCAGTAGATCTGCAGTTAAAATCTATATTCAGAATGTAATTTAGAGCCTATTGAGACAAACTTTAAAATGTCATAACTAAAAAACTAATTAGGTCACAGCTTTGAAATTTTGTGTGACTGCATGAGTTAAATTAATGTTTTTGCTTGATATTTTTCCATGGAAATCCATGATGTCACTGGACAGGGCCTAGGTGAGTTGGTGTGGAATAACCCATATTTACAATATCCTATCTATTTTTCACTTGCTTTGCCACTGATATTGATAATAATGTTGGGTTGTAGCAAGTATATTGTGTGTATTATATTTGTATGATGACTGGCAAGGGACAGTAAGTTACAAGACAGGTCTAATGCTATCTGTCAATATAAAGCACTGGAAGACGTGAATTTTGGTCTGAATGAACTAGCTAGTTAACTTTAGGCTGGAAACTTTACCAGCGTGAAGTTTTGGCCTACACACACTTCAAAATGATGGTTCTTCAAAGGTTCTTCAGTAAAGAAAATGGTTCTATATATAACCATGAACATTCAAAGAACCCTTTCCATGATTAAATGTTTCTTTGCAGCGTTAAACGGTTCTTCAGATTGATACAGAATGTGTTATATATGGTTCTCTTTCCATTTTCTATTTTGAAAAGGGTTCTATATAGCACCCAAAAGGGTTCTTCTATTGTTACGATGTCAGGCTTGACACACATAGAACCCTTTTCAAAAAGGTGCTATATAGAACCATCTACAGCACATTCTCCATCAATCCAAGGAACGCTTTCACAATGCAAAGAACGCTTTAATCATGCAAAGGGTTTTTTGAGTATTCATAGTGCCATATAGAACCATTTCCAGTTCAAATTACTGCAACACAGTAACATCTGAAGATCAATCTGTACAAAAAGTTTTTTATTCCCACAACTTTTCTTTTTAGAATCTATATACTGTTGTCAGAATATGTTTAATCTGATTATTAAAATACATATTTTGCAAAATATATAAATGACTGTAGCGATTTTATTTCATTATTTGTACACCTTGACAGCCATTGAGGTCTTTCTTTGTTTTTGCGCCACATAATGTTTTGATGTTTTGGTTCATATCCTTATAGTTTACAAGGAAAGCATCAAAACAAAGAGATTCAATGGCTAAATGTAATACTAACTCAATTTTTCTGATTAAAAAAAGTAAAAAAAGGACAATCTGGAGAAAAACATATGCAGTAATGAGAACTTCTCACACTTTGATGCCAATGCTTAAGATATTGAAATATTTATGGACATGTTCTGAAGTGCTGTCATGAGATTAACCCATTTGGACGGTCAGGCTCATACGTAGGCCTGGTGTTGACCCAACTCATTTGTTGTAGTCTGACAAAGATGAGGCTAAGCAATGTCTAGGGTCAGAGTGGATGGATTGCCACAGGCCGAATGTCACATTAAGGCTACAGAAACAATGGGCTTGATCTTGAAAGCATCAGAAATCCTCCCTCTTCAGCACAGCTTGCAGATTGTGCCAGAACTCCTCCCTCCTTTCTTCCTCTTGAGGCCACTCAAGGTACGTCCTGGAGTTCATTATCTTGCGCAGTTTGCAGAAGCGCTTTGGAATGGTCTCTTTGGGAATTGGCTCCAGCAAGACCAGGACAGCTGAATCGTTGTGCTCATCAATGATACGGAAGTGCGAGAAGTCCAATTCGTAGCGGCACCACTCACTTTTGACAAAGTGCTCCGACAGAACAAACAGAGTGCGATGGCTCCTCTCGATAGAATCAATTATGCTGTCCACGATCCAGCGTCCTGGAAGGAAGTCCCGCTTGTGAAGACAGAGTGCAAAGGGAGGCTGAGCACCTTCTAGCTTTGGGACGAGGATCTCCTCAACCCACTCAGCATCTCGTTGGCTGTATGAAACAAAAGCATCATAGCAAAGATTCCCCTCTGCTCTGCGCACTGCTGGTTTTCGTTTTGCTTGTAACCATGCAGTGATCATCTTTAGGTACCATAAAACATGAAGCTTGTGACAGGTCACACCAACGAGGACTAAAGTGAGGACAATCGCAGCACAGAGAATGGAGACTGCAGGAATCATATAACACTCAAAGACTGACAGTTGAGCCCTGTCAACTGTATGACCTCTCAACATGAATGGAGAGTCACATACATAATTATTGTGACCATCCCTGAGAGTGATAAGATGGTCAACGTCACCCTTAAAAAATGTCACAAACTCACAGGTGCATACGAAATTGTTCTGACCAGCTTCCAAATATTGCAGGTTGTTGAACCTTGTTAGGTCACTCTTGTTGAACATATTCAAAGTATTCCTCTGAATGAGCAATGTGCTCAGGCTGGGAAACATTCCTCCCTCGGGGAACTGAACAAGTCTGTTACCGGAAAGTTGGAGCTCCACAAGGTGGGGAAGGCTGAGGTGGAATTCTGTCAGGTCATTTTGACTGAGATCCAGAATTGTCAGGCTCATAGGTAGGCATGGTGTTACCCTATGAAGCTTTGTGGAAGACAGATTTAGGAACCTTAGACTCGCAGGCCAAGTGCATTTCTGTGGCATTGTCATAAAGTCATTGTGACTGATGTCCAAAAATGTCAGCCTCTGCAGACTTGTCACCAGGTGGGACATGAGCCCAAAGGATTTTAGCGAGTTGTGGCTCACATTGAGGGTGTTGAGATTGTGCATGATGCCCACACCACGACATAGCGTGTCCTCCACCGTGACATCTGATAATAGATTTTGACTCAAGTCCAAGTACTCAATCTTTTTCAGAAGATATGAGGTTATACAGGGCATAACAAAAACGGTGCAGTTGATCACAGATATCTCAGTGGGATACTTGAGAAGAAATGCTAGCTGGGTCATACTGCTAAAGTTGAAGAATCCTTGGATTTCAGCATTGCGAACAAAGATGGAACGCAGGCTTTCATAGTGTGTTGTGTGGGCTTTTTGCCACCAGCCTCCACCTCTGAGCTGTACATCCTCAAAACCAAGATAAGACAGTGGGGAACCATCCATAGCCTTCAGGAAACTGGTGACTGCTTCATCTGTTGTGGTCACGTTATGTAGAGTAAGTCTTGTGGTGCCCCCCTTTCTGACTTCTTCAAAAGGTTGCATTGATTCACTTGTGTTCAGCAGAACATCTCTGATAGTCAGTGATGTCTCGGGGTGAGAAACATCTTGAAGGATTTTTGAGACAAGCGCTGGGTTGTCTTGAAACAGCCTTTGAAGGCTCACTGAAACTGTTCTGATGGGTCGAGTCATCTTGAAGCTGCCTGCCTCATATGACCTCAGGTTACTTCCAACAACCACCATCTCATTCAGTTGGGTAATCCCACTTAAGGCATTCTTTTGTATTTTCTTCAAATAATGGTTTCCAAATTCCAGTGTTTGCAAGTTCCCACCAAACTGGAAAAGAGGAACAGATCCTAAGGTTGTATACAGGTTTCCCAAAAGGTTCAGGTGCTTCAGTGACTTCAGTTGATGAAACCAGGATGCCACAATGTTGTCCATTTGATTGAAAGACAGGTCAAGCACCTCCAGCTTGTGCTGTGACCTAAATGCTTCTTTGTGGATCATTTTAAGTTTGTTCTTCTGCATAGTTAAAGTTCCCAGCTCAGTGTACATGCTCAGATCCTGCTTCTCAATGGATTCAATATCATTGAGGGAAATATCAAGGATTACAACATTTCCGGGAACTGCTGGAACTTGGAGAAATTTTCTGGCAGAGCAGTTGCAGAAGTGATACTCATCACATTTGTAACAGTTGGGTCTTGAGACGGTCACAATGTGACCCCAAGTGAAACTGAAATAGATAAACATGAATAGTGATGTCTTCATTCTGTTGAAAAGAGAGCAAAGCATTCATTCATTAATACTGTTTTTGTTTATATCAGACATCAAGAATGATTCAGTAAACCACATCTCACTGTTGTCGGAAGAAAACCTAGTATCTCCATTTTGGACGTTTTTCAGTTTTTGACATAATTTGAAAGTACCTGTGGTCCTATATATCTTGTGTAAATTTCATGATGAATGGACCAGAAATTACCCAAAATGGCTTGGAAACTCTGGTTCCATTGACTTACATTAAAAGTAAAGTATATATATACCAAATCTATCAGGTTGCAAGTGATAAATGACATGTATTGTGAGCAGTACAGCGATTCTGAGATTTTAAAGGTTAAGTAGACCCACTTAAGAGATCACAAGGCCAGATCACAATCACAAGACTTTCTCTGGGTGGGTGGATTGGCTCTCCCTTTCCCTCCATCAATCAGCACAATACTAGCCAATGTGGAGGGATGCAAACTAACGATGAAAGTTAAGTTTGACATAATTTCATGTGACATTCTGAGGGAATTTTTGACTTCCCGTGATGTTCATGATGTAAATATACAAAAGGCAATTCTTTTTTTTTTTTTAAACTTTATTTCGCTAAATTTCACATGAGGCTTAAGCTTGCATTGCACACAAAGCTTCTGCAGATGTTCACTGGTTGCTACGTTACAGAGGTGCAGTAATGGTGTCCTATATTGAAGTGTCAAAATTAATGTTCTGTGCTGTAATCTTGATGTAAGAAATAATGCAAGAGAATTTCAATCACAGCTATCGCAGTTTTAAAGGGGAATGCCTCATAGGGCTAATAAAGGAAAATTACTCATAAGATGCCTGGGGTATGTTCTCTATTTCAGGAGGAACATGCATGAGAGGAAAGTCCCCGACCATCATTGCACAGGATATTTACATAACAAAAGTTTCATTTATCGAGACAAGCCGTTAAACAGTTTTAGCCAAAAATGCCTTGACATCACATTGAGTTGCATGTGATTCTTTGAAACTTTAAATCCCTGCCAACATGGTTTCAGGTGTTTCAAATTATGTATTAATAGTAAAGATGTGCTGCAGAATAAGCGTTTACCAGTGTTATATTCAAGAAATATGTATAAATGAATACAATTTAATTGTAGGGCAATGGTAAAAAAAATCCGAGCTGCTGCTCAGAACTGCATGGGAGTGTCATATTCCATAATGGTTGGGTCTCCCTGGCAACATAAAAACCCCACTGGTAGTGGCAGTGGTGAGCAACATCGCTAACAATGCTAGAAATTGTTGTAGTTCAGCCCTGCCCAATCAATTTTGTGATGTAGCTAGATCTCTAAAATGTCTGTGAGACAACTTGTTCTCAAAATATTAAGAAATTTTTTCTCAAAATGTTACAACTTTATTCTCGAAATAGTACAACTTTTTTCTCGAAATATTACGACTTTATTCTCGAAGTCTACTGTTTTTATTTTTATGAACAGTGGCCCTAAAACACTGTCATACTGTCATATTTGTGGACACAGAGAAGAAATTCCTTGTGTGTCTTGTTGTGCAAAAATGCCTGTGAAGTGCAATTGCAAAGAAACACTGTGAGACTTGTTGTTCAGTGGGGTTAGCTAACGTAACACTAAGCTATTGTATTGTTTTATTCCTGTAGTTAAGGTGGACCAGCTAGCTATCACGCTCTGGTAAATGAAGTTAGTTGCTTATAGTAGGATCCAGCAGGTGGCTAATGCAAGTATGAAGGTGCATCTACCTACGCTACAAACAACACCGTGATAAACCTTCATAACAAGCACTGTTAATAAATGTAGAAAAGCTTAAATAGCCTACTTGCTGGGAGTTATGGGTGGGATTTGGAACATCGGGAGATCAGTCACTTTTTGTGATATATGGTATCGTCAGCTTTACTATAATATTTTGTATTTTTCTGAAGCATCTTTACTGCTATTTAATCTTTTTTTACTTTATGTGTTATTTAAATGGTAAAAGAGCTAGCTGAGCTGCATTAATCTATATCTATAGCCTGTTAGCTTAGCACAACCTGTACCCTCTGCTAGAAAAACATCATTGACCAGCATGGCTGGTCACTAGCAAAATCAGCATATGTTTTATTTTGGATAATGGTATTCCGGTCAACCAGCATGACCAGGCTGGGTGACCAGCTAAACCAGCACCAGTCCAGCATTCATAAACATAAAGCATATCCAAGTTAGTTCATGGAAAATTTTTGTTATATATCATTATATAGTAGAATTTAATGTAGAAACTTTTATGTTTGTCTTTGTAAATATCTGATCACCATTGCTAGGACAATGCTAATTTCAGCTAACCAGCTAGTGGATTCAATCTTTATGGGATTTGCTGCATCAAGTTAGCAGCAAGCTAACGTCAGTGTACAATGACTGTGCTACATTGTGCTTAATATTATACAGATCAAGCTACACACGTAGCATATTTTTCTTTATATATTGCAGATTTCTATAAATCCTTAAATTTAACTCGAAGCCTAACTGTGAGTATTATTAGAGGAAGCTGTTAGCGTGTTAGCTTTTGAAAGAAAAGCTGATTCTACTTTTAAAAGGCTGAAATGAAACAATTATTTTGTTATAAATATAGACTCTTTAAAAAGTATTTAATTTAACAACACTGAATAGTGAGTGACTACTTTAATAAGTACACTTCTTTCTATCTATGCTCACAGTCCATTTTATCATCTTTGCTTACCATATAGTTTCACTTTGTAGTTCTACAATTACAGACTGTAGTCCATCTGTTTCTCTGCATACTTTGTTAACCTGTTCTTTAATGGTCAGGACTCTCACAGAGCAGGAACTATTTGGGTGGTGGATCATTCTCAGCACTGCAGTAACACTGACGTGGTGGTGGTGAGTTAGTGTGTGTTGTGCTGGTCTGAGTGGATCAGACACAGCAGTGCTGCTGGAGTTTTTAAACACCTCAGTGTCACTGCTGGACTGAGAATAGTCCACCAACAAAAAATATCCAGCCAACAGCGTCCTGTGGGCAGCGTTCTGTGACCACTGATGAAGGATTAGAGGATGACCAACACAAACTGTGCAGCAGCAGATGAGCTATCGTCTCTGACTTCACATCTACAAGGTGGACTGACAAGGTAGGAGTGTCTAATAGAGTGGACAGTGAGTGGACACAGTGTTTATAAACTCCAGCAGCACTGCTGTATCTGATCCACTTGTACCAGCGCAATACACACTAACACACCGCCACCACGTCCGTGTTACTGCAGTGCTGAGAATGATCCACCACCCAAACAATACCTCCTCTGTGGTGGTCCTGTGGGGGTCCTGACCACTGAAGAACAGTGTAAAAGGGGCTATCTGTGTCCTATATGGTAAGTGGAGCTGATAAAATAGACAATGAGTGTAGAAACAAGGTGGTTCTTAATGAAGTGGTGCAATGGTGTATATAATATTCAGTAGAGTACAATGCCATTATTGTAAACAAAAATTACAGTCCTGTTCCTATGGCCAGGACAGGGTGGTAATAGTACTGGGGTACCAAGGCAATGTTCCTCAGAGGGAAAAATCTATTCCTGACCATATTTTCATCAATTGTCAGCAGTAATATCAAAACTATAGAAAGCAAAAAGGAAAATAGCAATCAATACAACATTCTCAGAAGCAGAATACAAACAAATTGTATAGATTTTGGTATTGATCCATCAGTAGTAAGTACACATATTATTTGTATTACTATCTTTATTAATAGTGGTAGTAATAGTAGTAATAGTATTCATTAAATAAGTTACCTGTCTGCTACATCTGCCATGTGTTACGCTCTGGTAGACGAGCCGCAGATCAAGAAGCAAAAATCTTTAACCTCAGAAGAACAGTCAGAGGAAACATTGCATCACAGGAAAGAACCACAGAACTTTAAAGATAAAACCAGTCATTATCTACATACAATGGTCCTACATTTTAAGAGAAATCCTTAGGAACTTGTCATGAAATCCTCAATAATTTGTTCTCCAGATAAAAGCTCTATACTTCGCATCTTCTAACGCTCATGAAGACTTGTGATAAGCGATCTCTCAGTTTCATTTTATGTAAAAAAATGTAAAAAATTCTTTTTCTTCCCCATAAACGAGCTCATCTCGTTTAAAAAAAATGAAGTCTTTTATGTAAAACGGCGTCTTGGGATGTCTTGCTCCAGTGGTCTGTGCTCTAAAATTGAGGATTTGAAAAGAGGAAGCCAGCTGTTCATGCAAACCTTTAAAGCAGGCCAGTAATGAGCAAGACTGACATTGCTGAATATATCGTCATTCTTCTCGACATAAAGCACTTACTGGATATTTGGACAGTAACACTGTACTCCAATACTTTGAAGTAGATAATGTATGATTTGTACTTTCAGCACATTAGAATCCAGAAATTTTCACAGTAGCCACACAGTTCCTGCTTGTTTTGGAGGTCCCTAGGTTGAGCAATGAATAAATTATTTCTTCAGTAATATATTTGTATGAAAATGTACAGTACCATGCAAAAGACTTTGCAACATTTCCAGTTGAAACAATCATTATGTGAAAGTTATTCGTTGTTCAGTATTTTGTGTGTCTACGCTTTGCTTTTATTACAGCTTCCATTCTTTTTAGACTCACTTTCAGTTTTTTTTTAAAGAAATCTGCAGACACACCTCCAAAGTTCAGTCTTAGAAGTTGGTTGATCATTTTCTGAAGTAATCCAAACACATTCAGTGACATTGAGGTCTGGACTCTGGGGTGGTCAGTCCAGAAAACTTGTGTCTATTCACTTGTTTTCCTTTGACTTTCCCCTCCCTATGGAAGTGGATTATGTTATATCTAATTTGCTTAGAAACATATAGAAAAATAAATAACATACTTAACGGCCGTTAACTGGGAATGGAATAAATGAAGGGTGGCCTCTGACGTCGCAGTACTGTATATCATTTACAAGACTGGCCTCTTACCTCTCCCCTCATTGCTCACTAGCAACTCAACACAATGTTGTGCATACAGAGAGCCAACAGTGTCCAGGCTAATATGGTAACTGAGTTACAGGGTAAAATAAATGTCTGATTATCGCTGCTGTCAGAACAAAACCTTGTAACTCCATTTTTGTCGTTTTTTAGTTGTTGACAATATTGGAAAATCCCTGTTGCCCTTTACATTGTGTGTAAATTTTATGAAGAATGGACCAAAAGAAATGGCCCAAAATCATATGGAAGAAAGTCTGGTTCCATTGGCTTACATTAAAGGTACAGTAAGTTTTTTCATTCTCTTGTAAAGTTACCATTTTGGAGATACAAGATTTTGTTCTGACAGCAGCGATACATTTTATTATATCCATTTAAAATTTAATTTGATTTCCAACAAATATTTGATGGCCCTTGAAATTGTATTGCCTGCAGAAAGAGGCTACACAGTATTAAAACCATTGAGATATTAGCCCTTTTGTTAAGGCATGAAAACATTTGGCAGGCAAACATTATTTTCAATACTTAGTTGCATAACTTTTGTATGTGATTACTATCAGAGCAACACCTTGTATCTCTAAAATAGTAACTTTACAGGACGGGGGGGAAAAATGTTTTTAATTTGTAATGGAAGTTAATGTAGCAATATTTTTTTTCCAAGTAATTTTGGACCATTTTTATTGGTCTGTACATCATGAATTTTAACCTAAGATTTAAGGTATTCCTTTGAGGAGGAGTGTTATATCCAGTAGATGACACCAGGGCTAAATAGTTGAACAGCAAAGATTTTCAAGTATATTATATAAACCATTGCATTGTACTGCATTAGTTCAAACTACAGTCACACAGTAAAACCATAAAAACAATGGATTCAAAAGTATTCAGACCTTAGATGTTTACTAGGATTATGTTATGATCTATTTAAATTCTAGGCATTAATTGAAAGAATAGTTGAGTAATAATATGCAAAATCATCATTTATAGGGTACTTTCTATTGGGAGGTGTCTGTCTAAAACCCCGCCCCCTAAACTTAGACTCATGAAAATAATACTTACATTTTCATGTGTTACATACTCACATAGTGTGGAGTCGGAGGGAGGTTGTTTGTGATTATTGTTGATTTCATTTTTTATTGTTACTGTTTGTTTTTTGTTTTGTTTCTTTGTTTCATCTTTCTTCTTGAGGGAGGTTGTGGGAGTGGTCTGGGCTGGTCAGGGGGGTCATATGTTGGTGGGTAAGGCACACAGCTATATCACTGTCTAAAGTATATCACACTGTCTTAACACAGCTTAGAAATAGGGTGGGGTGGTGGTTTGGCTGAGGGATATTGGTCCAGACAAAAAAAGATCATTTTTATTTCTTTTAAAGTAAAGTTATATTTTATCATATTAATTTAAAATATCAGAATTGATTTCCCAAACTAATTTTTGAATGCCATCAAAAATTGCACTGCCTGCAGAAAGAGGCTACACAGTAGTAAAACCATTTCGAAATTACGCCATGTTTTGCATTGAAAACCTTTTGATAAGGCACGAAAACATATGGACAAACATTATTTTCAGTGCTTAGTTACACAACTTTTGCACATCATTACTGCCATCAGGAAAAAATATTCTTAACTTGTAATGGAAGTTAATGGAACAAATTCTTTTTCCAATTAATTTTGAGCATTTACATTAGTCTATTTATCAACAGTATGTAACACAAGGCAAAGGATTACTAGATTTTTCAAATAATTCAAAAAAATAACAAAAGTGGTTTCTAAACATTTTTAGCAGGAGGTTCTCACCATTCCCTTTCGTCCCTCATTGCTCTCTAACAGCTCAACACAGTCACAACATTTCACAGGTGACCAACACTGTCCTAGTTAATCAAATTACAGAGTTACAGGGAAAAATAGTTTATTTAATTACATTAATTAAAAATATCTAAAGTCGTTTTCCATTCAGCTGACAAAATGGTGATGAGGAGGTTTGCAGGGGCTACAATGTTAGCCTACGTGATCAACAAACAATGGTGTTTATTGTACTTGTTAATTTAAAGATTACAGCAATCTAAATCATTTTGTAATTAATTGACAAAAGCTTTACTCTTTCAAAGTCCTATGCCTTAAATTAGTTTACTACATATAATTTCTACTTGGAAAATTAAGTCAAGTTAAAGGTTTAATTGTTGCTGACGTATCAGGAATCCTCCCTCTTCAGCACAGCTTGCAGATTGTGCCAGAACTCCTCCCTCCTTTCTTCCTCTTGAGGCCACTCAAGGTACGTCCTGGAGTTCATTATCTTGCGCAGTTTGCAGAAGCGCTTTGGAATGGTCTCTTTGGGAATTGGCTCCAGCAAGACCAGGACAGCTGAATCGTTGTGCTCATCAATGATACGGAAGTGCGAGAAGTCCAATTCGTAGCGGCACCATTCGCTTGTCACAAAGTGCTCCGATAGAACAAACAGAGTGAGATGGCTCCTCTCGATAGAATCAATTATGCTGTCCACGATCCAGCGTCCTGGAAGGAAGTCTCGCTTGTGAAGACAGAGGGCAAATGGAGGCTGAGCACCTTCTAGCTTTGGGACGAGGATCTCCTCAACCCACTCAGCATCTCGTTGGCTGTATGAAACAAAAGCATCATAGCAAAGGTTCCCCTCTGCTCTGCGCACTGCTGGTTTTCGTTTTGCCTTTAACCATGCAGTGATCATCTTTAGGTACCATAAAACATGAAGCTTGTGACAGGTCACACCAACGAGGACTAGAGTGAGGACAATCGCAGCACAGAGAATGGAGACTGCAGGAATCATATAACACTCAAAGACTGACAGTTGAGCCCTGTCAACTGTATGACCTCTCAACATGAACGGAGAGTCACACACATAGTTTTGATGGCCATCCCTGAGTGTGATCAAGTGGTCAATGTCATATTTGAGAAATGCCAAAAACTCACAACTGCAAACAAAGTTGTTCAGACCAGCTTCCAAATACCGCAGATGGCTGAACCTCATCAGGTCACTCCGGTTAAACATGTTCAAGTTATTTCTTTGAATGAATAGTATGTTGAGACTGGGGAACCTTCCCCCATCAGGGAATTGCCGAAATCTGTTTCCAGAGAGATTAAGCTCCACAAGGTGGGGAAGGCTGAGGTGGAATTCTGTCAGGTCATTTTGACTGAGATCCAGAATTGTCAGGCTCATAGGTAGGCATGGTGTTACCCTACGAAGCTTTGTGGAAGACAGATTTAGGAACCTTAGACTCGCAGGCCAAGTGCATTTCTGTGGCATTGTCATAAAGTCATTGTGACTGATGTCCAAAAATGTCAGCCTCTGCAGACTTGTCACCAGGTGGGACATGAGCCCAAAGGATTTTAGCGAGTTGTGGCTCACATTGAGGGTGTTGAGATTGTGCATTATTCCCACACCACGACATAACGTTTCTTGCAATGTAATATCTGATAATAGATTTTGACTCAAGTCCAAGTACTCAATCTTTTTCAGAAGATATGAGGTTATACAGGGCATAACAAAAACGGTGCAGTTGATCACAGATATCTCAGTGGGATACCTGAGAAGAAACGCTAATTGGATCATGCTGCCAAAGCTGAAGAAGTCTTGGATTTCAACATTGCGAACAAGGATAGTGCGCAGACTTTCATAGTGTGCTGTATCAGCTTTTTGCCACCAGCCTCCTCCTTGAAACTTTATATCCTCAAGATCAAGGTAGGACAATCGGGAACCATTCATAACCTTCAGGAAGGAGGTGACTGCTTCATCTGTTGCACTCATGTTTAATACAGTAAGCCTTGTGGTGCCCCCTTTGTTGGCCTCTTTAAAGGGTTGCATAGATCGATATGTGTTCAGCAGAACATCTCTGATAGTCAGTGATGTCTCAGGGTGAGAAACATCTTGAAGGATCTTCGAGACAAGTACAGGGTTGTCTTGAAACAGACCTTCAACACTCAGTGTAACTGTTCTGATGGGTCGAGTCATCTTCAAGCTGCCTGCGTCATATGACCTCAGACTACTACCAATGAACATCATCTCGTTTAGCTGGCTGAGCCCACTGAAGAGATTGATTCTCACTTTCTGCAATAAAGGGTTGCCAAACTTCAGTGTTCTTAGGCTACCTACAAACTGGAAAAGTGGAACAGATCCTATGGTTGTATATAGGTTTCCCAAAAGATTTAGGTGCTTTAGAGATTTAAGTTTATGAAACCAAGATGGAGAAATGTTCATGAGCCTATTGAAAGAGATGTCAAGGTCCTCCAAGTTCTGCTGCGAATTGAATGCTTCTTCATGGATCAGTCTAAGTCTGTTCTTCTGCACCTTTAAGATTTTCAGTTCATTGTACTGGCTCAGATCATTCTGTTCAATTGACTCAATGTTATTGAAGGACACATCCAAAATCAGAACATTTGCTGGAATGATGGGGACTTGTTGAAGGTTTTCTGCAGAGCAGTTGCAAAAGTGATACTCATCACATCGATGACATTGCGGCCTTTGAGATGTTACACTTTCAACCCTCCAAAAATTGAAAAATAAATATATGAAAATGGTTGCCTTCAAGATCTTCATCCTACAAAAGGAAAAAAGCACCATATCGTGTTATGCATGTTTTTAAGGACAGTTTTACTATTCATTTTTAACATTTGAACCCTTCAGGAAACAGAAATTGAGAGGTAAACTAAGTGAAGGTTTTTTTTATTCTAAATGTATTATAGACCATTTTCAAGAATTTTATTTTGTTTCACAATATACACTTTTGATACACTGTGCTATGTGATGATTAATTCTTCCTTTATTAGAGAAATAAAAATGTGATTTCCATTAATGTCATATGACAAAAACTCCATTATTTCCATTAAAATTATTTCCAAAATTGTTACAAATATATATACAGCATTTTGAATTTAAAACTCTTTTAAAAAAAACAACACCACTTACACTTAATTGAATAATATGTTATAAGTTATTGGAAGCACTTTAACACATGTATTGACAAATATATCACTAAAGCAATACTTGAGTACTTATGAACAGCTAATGGCAGCAATCAAAACATGCTTTATGAAGTAAATGACTAGTTAAGAGCTCCATATATAAATTCTAAATAAAATATATGTGAATGTATGTATGTACTGCTTTACAAGCTCCATTGGCTGGCAATAATGCTTCATAACTGGGTAATAAATGGAACAAATGTCTATTAGTTCAGTTTAAGACCTCTTATGTCAATACAATGTCATTTACTTCATAAAACATCTTCCAATTACTGACATTAACTGTTCATAATTTCTCATTTGTTGATATATAATTATGTTTTTCAATGCTTATGCATGTGTTACGAAGTCCCTATGTAGGTAGCTTTCAAATCAAGTTTTTTTTTTTCTATCCCAACAAAGTTTTTCCCCAGTCAAATGTCCTCAACTTCCAATGGAGCAATTCTACTCTTCTACTCTTTATTCTACTCTATTGCCAAAGCTCTGGCTCTGCTGGAAGATTATGTACGCCATAATAAATCATTTGTCTTAATAATTTTTTATAGTCATATCAATAAAAGCACAGTAGTCTGTCATAAAATTGGCATATATAGATGCCAATGGTCCAGTCATCATGAAATTTTGACATAATGTAAAGGGCAGCTGGTGCTCTCAAATAATGTAAAAAACGACAACAAAAATTGCTACCATTCACCTTTCTTTCCTAATGTGAGTTTGGATACACCAAGGAAGGAGACTTGAGCAGAAGTATTATGGATATACAGCACTGGTCAACAAGCCATATTTTCAGAGCTGTAATTAGTCAATAGTTCTCATGAACCAGGTCCCTAGACTAGACTGGATTTTATGAATCAATTTCAGATAACTCCATAAGAAACATACTCTTAATTTGTACTGCAAGCAGAACCAACAAATTTCATTACTTACGCCAATTACTTAAGTCCACAAAGGCAACACCTCAGTCTAAATCAAAAATGAAAATGAAATGAATTGAAACCTGGATACAACTCAAAAGTTCTCTATCTGTGTACAAGGAACTGTGAATATCACTCAGACATTCAATACCAATCAAACCATCCCTTGGTCACTTCTCATTTTGTCACTTTCCCAACCCTGAAATACATTTTATTTTAAATATAAACGTATTGTTGCAATTACTTAAGTCCACAATAGCAACGCCTCAGTCTAATTAAAAAACAGGTAGGAAATGAATTGAAACCTGGATACAACTCAAAGGTTCTCTATTTGTATACAAGGAACTTAGTGTCACTCAGACATTCAATACCATTTAAACCATCCCTTGGTTACTTCGCATTTCATAGCTGCCCCCAACCCTGAAATACAATTTATTTTATATATAAAGGTATTGTTGCACCTAAACCTAATCTAGATTTTGAAGAAAAAGGGTAACAGGTGATTAGCTGTGATAGCTGTGTGCCTTACCTGCGATTAACTTAGGTGCAGTAGGTCCACTTGTTGTCCTCTCATAACCGAACAAGAGTTTGGCACATGTATAAAAGAGGAACAAAGTATAAAGACTCAACTGGACATGAGAAGGAACGAAAGGAACCTACCAACCATTGTTGGTTTACAACAGTTCCCATCACTGCAGTATTAATCCGCTAAAAGCTTTGATGATGCAATGCATTTCTCCTGAGAAAAATAATATGCAAGTAGAAAAAACATCATATTTTAAGTAACTTCCAATGTTACATCTATCTTCATCATCAAGGTCAGTACAACACAAGGTAGAATGTACAATATGACACTGTTCTGAATTACAGTGTATTCTAGTATGATTATGTTCTTATTGAATTTACTTAATGATTATTCATACAGTGTGTTTTTCTACAGCAAGCAGCTCTGCAACAGTGTGAGTGCAAGCCAAGGGCAACTGTGGCAACAAAAAAGTCCCTAAGAGCCTGAGGAGGAAAAAGGAACTATAGGACCCAAAAGCGGAACCCATCATCCTTTGGTCAGCCGTGGATACCGGAGTCACGGCACAAATAGCGCAAGTGAAAATAACAGAGATACTTGGATCAAACAAAGGAAAGATCGGTGAGATGAAACAGTGAGTGGTGACCAACATTAAAACTCTCTTAGAAAACTGTCAGAGAAGATTTGGCAGACTGATTATGATAGATATATACAGCATGTTACATATGATAACATGGCAGGCAAAGAGTTCAGTATGAGGGTAAGGCACGTTCAGCTGGCAGTAATGCACCTGTGCATCATGATTGGGGAAACCCTCCCTGTTAAGACATGTAAGCCTCAATATGGGGTGGACAGAGTGCTGAAAATCGCTACTTAAGTAAGCGTTATATAACTGTTACTGTAGTGATAATATACTTATTACTTATACTTACTACCAGTAAAAGTATTAGAAAAGCAAATGTCTCAAGTAAGAGCGAATAAGATGTTTATTGGAAAACTGCTACTCTTTTGTATATCCATATATTGCATACTTTTTGTATATGTTTCTGTATTAACTTGGGTACATCTTGGGAATTATCTGTACGAACTAAAGCCAAACGTTATATTAGGTGAGCAAAAAAGGCTTGAGTTGTGAGGCAGGTCACAATATGCTTGGCTAGTGCACATTTACACATCAAATGTACATTTACATTTAGGACATTTGGCAAAGTACAAATAGCTGCCAGAAACAAGAGTCAATGCTGATACCTAGAAAGACCCAGCACTAACTGAATGGCCGGGATAGCAGAGTTCTAACCACGCAATGCTAGATACTAACTCCACACAAACTACCCCCACAGCGACACAAAAAATATAGTGGCACTAAGAACATCCATAACGAAAACTTATTCAGTGATTAAAGTCTCTCTTACTGCCCCCATGTTACTTCCATGACGCGCTTGTCTGTTCTGCAAGACCACGCCTCTCACACGTCCAGGGCTACTCGAGCCATTAGCAGGACACCACATGGCCCCCCTTTCAAAGGTCAGCTGAGTCCCTGGGACACATGGGGGTATGCCACCCACCCAATAGTGCATCATTGGTAGCAAAGAAGTCTAAAGCCATGTTTACAGGCAACTGACCCCTGTGGCAGCATAAAGAATGAAAGTGGCAGTGGCCCTTGAACAGAGCCTTGTGGAACACCGTGCTTTACTTGTGTAGATAAAGAAAATTCATCATTTTCAATTATGAACTTATTGAAATCAGTCAAGTAGGATCCGATCAAGAGTGCCACTTCAATGATCCCAACTTACACGCTGAGCTAGAGCTTTCTTTATAAGTCTTTAAATAAAAGGAGAGAATTTTGCCCTTAGTGGGTTTGATTTGAGATTTGAGATTTGATACCTGCTAAATTCAGAAAAGTTGCTGTTATCTGCTGTTACCTGAGGTGTATTTCTGGTAGAATCTCTTTGATTAAGCTCATAGTTATTGACAAGGTGCCAAATACAGGGGGTTCTTGCGAGTCTGGGACCCCCTAATTAACCTCTTGGACCCCCTGAATGTCTCAAAATGTTTCAGTCCTTTTAAATAATAGTCAGCAAGCTTCTATCTTATTCTTAACTAACTAGAGATGCAGCACTGGTCTGTCTCAGAGTGGCACTGTAGCAAATTTGATTCACCCAATTAAGTCCTTCATAGCCTAGCAAGTGTAACTATGACTGGGACACCTCTGAAAACCTTTAGAATATGCTTTAGCATTTTTGTGAAACTCAAAACTTGCCAAATTTGCCCAAAAATGGTGGAAAGAGTGAATTGTTACTGATTTCTCAAACTAAAGACAAAAGAGATGTTTAAGATCTCAAGTAGACTGCCTTTCCAAACTTTACCATTGAAGCTATCATCAGCACCACTATGGGAAGAGAGTTAGCAGTCAGCTAATGCTGGAGTAGCCAGCCAATATGGGACCCCAGCCGTCCAAATGCCACATGTATACCAGGGGCATTTTGCACACTTGAAGAGGAGATCTGCAAAGTTAGAGCACACTGCTGAATTTGGACAAAGGCTACCAGCTGCATGACTAATCTGGTTATACCGCACTGCAAAGGCTTTGTTAGATAGCAGATTATTTCAGGTCAAATGTGTCCTCTTTTTCAATTTGATCAGTATAACAAGCTGCTACAGAGTGTACCAAGGCTTTAGGAATTAGCTGGGTTTAAGATTAAACATGCATTGAATAGGAATTTAGGCTTGTTTTTGTTTTATCAAGCTGGAAAACTATTGATCTGACCACAGTAACAGCCCTCCTGTAGTCAATAGAGCTTTTCTTTCATTCTTATTAAGAAAGGAAAATTCGTAGTTTTGCCGTTACACTGTATTCTTTTGGTCTTTCGAATGAAAATCTGGGTGTTTCTTCATCTTTGCATTCAGTTTCTAATGATGCATAGTGTAAAAACTAGATTAAAAAAAGAGGAAACCAGACACTCACACAAGCATTTGCGGTCAGTCAGTTGTTTAGCAAACAGAAACCAACCTGTTCCCTTCATTGGTTTTTTCTCTCACACTAGATCAGGCCACAACACGTTCAGTTATGGAACTATTCCCTCCTGGGCTAAGAGCACAGTAAACACTGATATTTGGAGTAGGAGGAGGAAAAGACAAATTAGGACACATGTCGCTGCTATATTTTTAATCCTATAATTATTTGGGCCAAAATAGAGATAATAACATTAGACAAAATAATAATGGCTTAGCCCTGTTTTGGAAAAACATACATTTCAAGTTAGGTCTTGTGCATTTCAGTACAAAGCTTTTTTTAAAAATCACCCATTGCTAAATGTTTATAGAATCAAGCATATAGCCATGTAATCTCCATAGACAAATTTTGGCAGTAGAATGGGTCATACTGAAGAGCCCAATGACATTAAACAAAGCACTGTCATAGGATGCCACCTTTGCCACAATTCAGTTCTTGAAATCTCTGTCCTGCTAGGTCTGCCCCAGACAACTGTGCTATAATTGTGAAATCGAAGCGTCTAGGAGCAACGATATCCCAGCGTTAGACCACATAGACTGAGCTCAGTGCTGACGTGCATTGCCTGTCCTCGGCTGCATCTCTCAATACAAAGTTCCAAACTGCCTCTGGAAGCAACACTAGCACAGATTTAGATTTATCATGTTTCATTTTTAAACAAAATGTATACGAGTTTATGTATACAATGTAAAATAATTTGATTTTATCATATTAATGTAAAATATCAGAGTCGATTTCCTATCAATCAAATTTTGTTTCAGGTTCCTATGTTGGTCTTTGCTACACCTCACACACCTGGAGAGGTACTGCATTCGTTTTACTATAATTCAAGATTCTCAGTTCACAAGTACAGCAGCCTTTACTGACTCACCAAGTCATATTAGGGAGCTCATTGATTTTGGCTTGCCTAATTTCAGGCTGCTTTTTGGGCTATTCATTTTTGTCCAGCTTCTTAATTTCTTGTTTTGATACTTCGAAGTATCAAAACAAGAAATTTTTTTGTAAAGAAGTTTTATTGTAACTTTTTGGCTTATTGTAACAACATGAAAAAGACCACTGAATAAGATTTAAGGTATTCCTTTGAGGAGGAGTGTTATATCCAGTAGATGGCACCAGGGCTAAATAGTTGAACAGCAAAGATTTTCAAGTATATTATATAAACCATTGTACTGCATTAGTTCAAACTACAGTCACACAGTAAAACCATAAAAAACAATGGATTCAAAAGTATTCAGACCTTAGATGTTTACTAGGATTATGTTATGATCTATTAAAATTCTAGGCATTAATTGAGAGAATAGTTGAGTAATAATATGCAAAATCATCATTTATAGGGTACTTTCTATTGGGAGGTGTCTGTCTAAAACCCCGCCCCCTAAACTTAGACTCATGAAAATAATACTTACATTTTCATGTGTTACATACTCACATAGTGTGGAGTCGGAGGGAGGTTGTTTGTGATTATTTGTTGATTTTGTTTTTTGTTGTTGCTGTTTTTTGTTTTGTTTCTTTGTTTCATCTTTCTTCTTGAGGGAGGTTGTAGGAGTGGTCTGGGGGTGGTCAGTTAACACAGCTTAGAAGTAGGGTGGAGTGGTAGTCTGGCCAAGGGATATTGGTCCAGACACAAAACAAAAAAAATCCAGTGTTGCTTTTAAGATCGTTTTTATTCTTTAGAAGTGAAGTTAAAAGATTTAGATTTATGATGTTTCATTTTTATACGTTTCAAATTTATGTATACAATGTAAAAGAATTATTTTATCATATTAATTTAAAATATCAGTCAATTTCCTAATTTAATTTTTGATGGCCATCAACTTGTAAAGAAAGTTAATGTAGCAAATTTTTGTCCAAGTAATTTTGAGCATTTACATTAGTTTATTCATCAACAGTATGTAACACAAGGCAAAGGGTTACTAGATTTTTCAGATTATGCCAAAAAGTAAAAAAAACAACAAAAGTGCTTTCTGCGCAACAGCAATAAACATTTTCTCACCACTCCCTTTCGTCCCTCATTGTTCACTAACAGCTCGACACAGTCACAACATTTCACAGG